TGAAGGGAAGATTTGGACATTTACACATTTGGAAGATTGGAAAGCGTGGACTATAATTTCTTATAATTCCGTAGTTATTTATTTTAATATTTTATGTTTATTTTTTGGATTTCCAATTTTGGATTATGGACTGTATTATGGACATTATGTTAACAGTATGAGACTGCGGGAGAGGGTGTATGTAGATTTTTGAAAAGGTTTATGTTATTTGCACTTTCAAGGGTGAAAGTTTGACTTTTCTGTGGGAAAGTTATAGAGTTTTTGATTTATAATTATATAATGTTATTAAATGAAATTAAGGAGGAGTTGAGGAGAGTGGGAAATGGAAATCCATCGTGGATAGGTCGTATAAACTTGATAAAGATGGTAATTGTCCCCAAAGTATTATATAAATTTCAAATGATCCCAATCAAACTCCCAGAGGCATATTTTAAAGAACTGAGGAAAATGATAATAAAATGTATATGGAGGAATAAAAAGCCTAGAATAGGGTATGAAACGTTGACTAGAAGTAAAGAAAGAGGAGGACTGGGGGTACCAGATTTTAGGAGATATTACAAAGCGGGGATTATCGCAAGAATCTTCGACTGGATTCACAATCCGGAGAAAAGTTGGGTCAAAATTGAGAAAACACTGAGTGGAATAAGTTTGAGTAATAGTATCTGGGTGCCTGCACAATACAGAGAATTAGAGGAGAGCACAAGCACGTACACTCTTATTGTTTTAAAAGAATGGGATTTATTACATAGACAAAAGGGGTGGGTTTTTAATTCACAACTAATACCACTTAGGAACACAAAATATTTCATCCCGGGTAAAGATAGCATAGCAGGGAAATAGATTATAAAACAGGAGGTGCAATTGAGAGATATAATGGTAGGAGAGGAAATTGGGTCATATAAGGATATGGAGGAAAGAAAGGGTGAAGTCTTTAATAAGATGGATAGATTAAGATATTACCAACTGAAGAACTTCTTTGAAAGCCTTCCAAAACCTAGAACTAGAAAAGACTGGAATCCATTTGAGAGAATTTTTGAGTTACGGGGAAATGGTAGACACGGAACGGCAAAAATACACAAGATATTAATGGAACTTGACACAGACACAAAATTAATGCACATAGAGAAATGGGAAAGAGATATGGGAAGAAAAATAGAGGAGGAGGAGAAGAAGAAGATGTTCACATTAATTCACGAAAATATTAGTATGAGAGAAGTGGAAATAAATTATAAGTGTTTGAATAGATGGCACATTACCCCTTACCTGGAGCACAAGATGAATACGGAAATTTCACAGATGTGTTGGAGAGGCTGTGGAGAGGTGGGCACGTGGTATCATATGTGGTGGGAGTGTCCAGAAATACAGGTGTTCTGGCGAAGGATAGTTTACTTGATAGGGAAGATTAGTAAAATCAATATAGGATTAGACCCAGAATTATGCCTCCTCCATATCTCAGAACTCCCAGTGAAAGTATATAAGAGGTCAGGGATATGGTATTACTTAACCGCAGCAAAGAGCCTGATACCCAGGTACTGGAAGAAAAGAGAGGTGCCAACTGAGGAAGACTGGATGGGTAGAGTAAACCAGATTTCTGGGACAGAAAGATTGTATTATACGCACGAGGATAAGCTGGAGATGTACAATAAAAAATGGAAAGGATGGGGAGAATATAAAGAAATGGCGAAAAAGGTGAAGAGATAAGGTCCCGGGTAGTCGGTTTAGAATTGGATTTAGGAACAACAGAATTATATGGAGTAAATGAGAGAAGAGAGAATATAGAGCGTGGGAAGATGAGGGAGGGAAAGGGAGGGGACGGGGAGAAAGGAGGGGGGGGGGGGTGTTTGGGAGGGGGGGGATGGTATGAAAAGAAAGTCATATATAGGAATAAATTTTATAAGGAGAAAATATGTTTTTGATAAATGTTTTAATGGATATGTTGAAATGACTTGTATATGGATTGAAAATTAATAAATATTTATAAAAAAAAAAAAAAAAAATTCAGCTGGTCCCTGCTGAGATGTATTGTTAAACATTCTGGTCTGAGATGCTTTGTAAACACGGCCTGTAATATGTAGCAGGGTGATGTTGGCTATTTCTAGGGGTTTATGGAGTAAAACATTTCATGACAGGAGCACAGTAGAATTCCAGGGCAGAACAGCAGCTAAAAATCAGATCAAAGTGCAGAACTACAGGGTAGCCAACACATGTTTAATGGATGATGGTAAATGGTTATCATCAGTCTACAGAACTAGGAGTGCCTTGTCTTTGCCAGAGCCATTGAAGGCATGGTGCTACTCCCAGATTACCTAGGTCAGTGTTTCTCAACCTTTTCCCAGTCAAGGTACCCTTTAAAATGATGCATAATCTCACGACACCCCATTGTAAAATATAAAAAAATAAACTAATAGTTTTCCATATTGCAGCAACATCCACACACATAGGACGCCCAACATTAGAGGTGATTTATTTTTACAAAGCAAATACACTTTTGCACACTGGTACTGACTAGTATTCCAACTGTTCTTCTCCCTCATTTTCTCTCCAACCCACAGCTAATATGACCCCAGTGCTTACAGAGAAGGGGGTCAAACAAGGATGCTATGCAGGTGCCCGACGTCCTCATTAGCAACCAATGACATCAGTGGTAGTTAGGATGCCAGCGGTTGGCCCGCCCAGTGCCCAAGTTTGTAATGGTGCACAATAAAAATATGTAGATTTGTGTAACAAAAAGACATGCTTGATCCACCAGCTGGCTTTTACACAGTTTTTGGGCATTTTGTCAAGGCATCTCCTGAAGAACCCAGAAGGGACCCCAGGGTGCCGAGGCACCCTGGTTGAAATTATACATAAGGGCCTAGCCCCAAGACAAGAACAGATAGAGGTTAAATTTAACATGCTAGTGTCAGTAAAGAGCACCAGTGTTGGCTTGTAAGGGCAGGGTCCCTAAATAGCCACAAACACAGAACAGCTAAGATACAGATATAAGATGGCACGAACACAGATATAAAGGAGTATGGCAAAGAACACATACAAAATTTAAAGTAGAACTATAGGCAAACCTTTTTTTTTTTTCATCTTGGATAGAGTAAGGGACTATTATAACCTGTAAGATTTTTTTTTTGTCATCTGTGTCCCATTGAGGAGATTTCCCTTCACTTCCTGTCCTATAGCTAAAACAGGAAGTGAGAGATAATCCCCGCAAATTAAGGGAATTCCTTGGGGACCCTCAGGTCACCAGAACTAATGTTCCCAGTGGAAGATTTCTCCTCTCTTACATTTCTAGTTACAACCAAAAATGTGGGGTTTTTGTTACTTTCACTTTCGATGATAATGGTAAACAGGACAAATTGAGAGGATAAATCTCCTTAACAGGGGAAAAGACAACACAAAAAACCGCACAGATGTTTTAATCCCTGTCCACTCTGTCCAAAAACTAAAAAAAAAAAAAAAAAAAAAAAGTTTGCCTTTAGTTATACTTTAATGTTAAGGGGAGACACACTAAACCCATGATACCTTGCCCTGGAAGGACCTGGGATTGATTGGCCAACATGTTCTCATTTATGCTTTTTATTGTAGCTTCTCACACTAATATAAACTGGCTCCAGCACCGTAAAGCTGGTGTCTCCAGGCATACACTGATTCACACAGTAGTCAAGAAACAACAAAATCCAGTGTGTTCTGCATTGAAACTGATGACCAGGGTTCTGGTGGTCATGCTCTGGCCCAGCCTAATGCCTTGCTTATTGATAGTAAGACTGCATATCACATGTACTTTCTTTTATAAATTTACATTTAGAATGCAAAAATGTGAGTATATAAATATACTACTGATGCAGATCTTACCAGTGTCTGTACCTAATGAACTGCGAAACTCCAAATAAATCTTTAATACAGTGTAGTAAAATTGTATCAAAGTCCCAGAATTTTAACAGAAACCTCAATCTTGTTAAACATAGTGAAACCCTGTTCACACAAAGAGTTTGATCGGACCCTCCATTCACCCGTATGGGCCTGCAGGTGTAAACAAATTTATGTCCGTTTATACCTGCCTACCTCATATTCAATCCGGTCCACCTAGGCAGAATAGAGAGCATTTGGGTGTAAACAAACAGCACAGTCCTTTTACTCTCGTTGGTCCATAGAGTGGAGCGGGCTTGTTCCGTGTCTCCCTGAATAAATGGAGTGGACATGGACCTGTCATCTGTCTGCTCTGCTCTGATCAGCAAGGGATCAGCGGATAGATCCATTGCTGATAAAATCAGAGTTCACCCTGTGTAAGAGGGCCCTAACTGTGAAAAACTAATAGTGTCCATTGCTCCTCTTTCAAGTCATAGCCTTCTTAATTATCCTTCACCCAGTACAAGTGAATACTTCCACCAATGATTGGATTATCACTCACCCTTTAATTTGCCTCTCTCTTTCAAGACAGGCAACAGCACTTTTTGTTAGAACTCTCTTAATCTAGTAGATTTCAATCCCAGCAGCATAAAATCCTCTATGATGAACTCCTCATGACAACTCCTCCATTACCATATCACTCACATGTCACCCAAAAATAAAACAAAAACTCATGCATAGTGTAATAAAACTTCTAAATAAAAAGCACTCACATAAAGCTAGTGCACACTAACACTATGCCATATTGGTTATAATTAGCAGGAATCCATTCTCCCCTTTGCCTGAAGTTTGCCACTATGCAAATTTACTATTATTTCTTTCTGTGTTGCCAGACAACATCCAAATGCAGGAATCCATTTTATGATTTTATTACACTGTTCTAAATCAGTGGTTTCCAAACTGCAGCCTGGGGGGCCAGATGTGTCCCTTTGCTTTTATCTGGCCCTTGGGGCATGATTTCATCTACTAATACCAACAATTGGGTATAATTTCCCCCCACTTACACCAACGATGGGGCACAAATCCTCCCAGTGACACAAATGATAGGGTCCAATGACATCAATGATGGGGCACAATTCCTTCCAGTGACACAAATGATAGGGTCCAATTACATCAATGATGGGGCACAATTCCTTCCAGTGACACAAATGATAGGGTCCAATGACATCAATGATGGGGCACAATTCCTTCCAGTGACACAAATGATAAGGTCCAATGACATCAATGGTGGGGCACAATTCCTTCCAGTGACACAAATGATAGGGTCCAATGACATCAAAGGTGGGACACAATTCCTTCCAGTGACACAAATGATAAGGTCCAATGATATCAATGATGAGGCACACCTTTTAAATAATTCCTCCAGTGACACAAATGATAGGGTCCAATGACATCAAAGGTGGGGCACAATTCCTTCCAGTGACACAAATGATAAGGTCCAATGATATCAATGATGAGGCACAATTCCTTCCAGTGGCACAAATGATAGGGTCCAATGACATCAATGATGGGGCACAATTCCTCCCACTGGCACCAAACATTGGGACATTATTTTTTTCCCTCTGATGTTGGGACCTTTTTTACTCCAACTGGCTGCAGTCCAGCCCTTGTAAAGTCTGAAGGACAGTAAACTGGCCCTTTGTTTAGAAAGTTTGGAGACCCCTGTTCTAGATCATTTTCTTACAAGCGTGAGGTGTGGGCAGATTAATTTACATTGAGGTGGTTGGTTGGATTAGTGGTGGTGCCTGAGTTCCTAATTTTAGATTTCATAGACTCAGGGTACAAGGCAAAATGTTGTCATGTTCTACAAAGTAAGGGCAATGTCAGGCCAACAGTCCTAACACAAAATTTTAATTTACCTAATCACTTTATGACAGATACATGACATACCAACATATAAACTTTCCATGCTATGACAAATAGTGTGCAAAATTTCCAAGAATACAGTAGCACAGCACCAGGGAAGCTGCTTGTAAAATTGTGCTGAACATTGTCAGAGGCAGCACTAAATAAGCCCACCTAACCACTCCATAAATGTTTTCATTTCTACCAAAGGTTAGTTTTAGGTTTAATTCCAGGTACAAATTTTATTTATGATTTTTTTTATAGACGGTAATTTATGTTTAGGTTCAGTAATTCCTTAATTAGGCTTGCTGGCCAGGACCCTTTCATTACCTGGTGTGCTCTTGCATGTACTTGTAATTAGCTTCAATGTCAGAGTCAAATAGCTAAGATTACTTTCAAAGTATGACAGAATTACGCAACTAGTTCCGGGTTTGTAACAAATATGCTTACTCACATTCACTAAGAACCATAAGAACACAGAGCGCCACCTTGTGTTATCCTCAACAAGCTAAGTGATCTGCAGCAGTGTGAGTACCTTACAGTCCATTTACAGTGTATTTATAATGTGGCACACATTGTACCCTTATCAGGCTATAGATCGGGTTTCAGTACAATGTTGTCCCAGACTGGTACAGGATTAACTCCTAGAGCAGTGTTTCTCAATCTTTTTACCTTCGAGGAACCTCTGGCAAAAGGGAACCCCTGAAATAACATTCAGATCTACAACTCATGGAACATTGATGTGATCAGCGAGCTGTGATATAACAATTATGTTACGAAATAGCATTACATATTAGGAAGAATATTAAAACTTGTGCTGTTTTTTTTCTGCACAGATGCTCAATTCTGGGTTTAACTTGGGATAAGCAAAGGAGCTCAGGAGGACAATACGGGGGGAACAGCGGGACACATTATGAGGCACTCCAGGGCACATTACATGAGGAGCACAGCAGGGCAAATTTTGGGGAACAATAGGGCACATTATGGGACACACAGCAGAACATAGGGAACATTACAGGGCACACAGCAGAGAATAGGGCACACAGCAGAACATTGGGCACATCATGGGGGGTCACAGCAGGGCATGGGGCACACCATGGGGCATACAGCAGAACATAGGGCACATAAAAGAACATGAGGCATATCATGGGGCTCACAGCATGGCATGGGGCACATCATGGGACACACAGCAGAACATGGGGCACATCATGGGGCACACAGCAGAACATGGGGCACATCATGGGGCACACATAAGAACATGGGGCATATCATGGGGCTCACAGCAGGGCATGGGGTGCACAGCAGAATATGAGGCACATAGCAGAATATGGGACAAATCATGGGGCTCATATCAGGGCATGGGGCACATCATGAGGCTCATAGCAGGACAAGGGGCACACAGCAGGGCATGGGAACATTATGGGGCACACAGCAGAACATGGGGCACACAGCAGGGAATTTCACAGTAGGACATGGGGCACACAGCAGGGGTACATAGCAAACAGTAGGGCATGGGGCACATAGAAGAGTACAGGGCACACAAAAAGGTACACTTCTGTAGCAGTTTCCTTCAAATGCAGAGTAGCGTGCAATGCGGCTGTAAAAAGACCTATCTCACAGCGCGATCCTTCCCGCTGGCCCCTCCTCTCTGCTCGTCCATCCCAGGTGATACAAGCACCTGGGGGTGAACGGGAGAAAAAGAGGGGCTGGCGTGAAGGATCGCGCTATGAGAGAGGTATTATTACAACAGCTTTCCGCTCTACTCTACATGTATTGGCTGAAACTTGATCTACCTGTCAGCTGTCTGTGATTGACAGGTAGATTGCCGCAGAACACCTGGGGACTTCTCATGGAACCCTAGGGTTCTGTGGAAACCCGGTTGAGGAACACTATCCTAGAGCATATTTATAAAGCACAGTGCTTTAGCAGTACAATTCAAGCAGATCCCTACATAAATTAATGGTAAATGATAGAAAAAAAGCCTGTTGGGACCTTCATTTTATGAATGATGCCTAAAAAGCAGAGCGCAGTATACATTGTGATGTCTGTTGACGAATTAATTTAAGTATCTGTTCTCTTTAAACCTAGGTTTACACTATTCCGTGTAGTGCGGGATGCGCTTGAATGGGCTGCCGTGCCTTGCAAAATGCAGGGAAAAGGTCCCTGCACCTATCCAGAAATTGCAGCCCGCACTGGGAACCACACTATAGCACGGTTCCCAGTGCAGGTGCGATATCCAGTGTGGGCGGCGTGCCATTACGATTAATGGCTCCCGTCCACGGATTCTGTGTTTTGTGTGCGGGTGGTTACAGCTGCAGGTCCTGCAGTGGCTTCCACCCGCACTAGTTTGAACCCAGCCTTAAAACGAGGTCATATATGGCTTGGATTTCAGTCAGTTCCTTTTGGTTTGGTCAAAATTTTAGGTTTGGGTTGATCCATGTACCACCTGGCTTGACAAAAGTAAATTTCAAAATTCAAAGGAGCTTGGGAGAAAATAACTGACCAGTGAGTACAGGAATTCCCCTTATGGAGCAAATGTCCCTGAATGCATACAGCCCTAAATGCAAGTATGTATGTCATGTGAAAAATATGAACCAGCTTATCCCTGCCATGCTATAGATAGTCATAAGGGCATGTAGTACATCTAAATGTCCTTGTCCAAGATCTTAAAACTCCATATCCCAGATGCAGGTATTCTTAAATGGCACATGGTGATGAGTGAAACTTCAAAGATAAAGAAAACAGGAAGCACAATGATTTGGAGCAATAAAACACTTTTATTATCAAAAGGAAAGACAAATACAATTGCATTCATATTTCATGAGGATCAGAGGGCTTTGTATACAGTTAACATGGTAAAGGGGAACACTGACACTGGGGCCCGTGGTTCAGTGTTGATGGCTGATGAATCCTCCTGGAGCACCTCCGGGCAGGGGTGGACTGACCATTTGGAAACTCGGGCACTGCCTGAGGGCCCGAGGTCAGTAGGGGGCCCCATGAGATGCCCCTGATTCCTTTTTCATGGGCTTTTTTGAGTTTGGGCAAGGACACAGGGGCCCCATGATGCCTTATTGCCCGGGGGCCCCATGAGTTTTTCAGTCCGCCCCCCTGCCTCCGGGTATCTGTCAGGCCAGGGAAAGGTGGCTTTATCCTGCACCTGGATTGAACTCCATGCTGGAGGTCCTCACTACCAGCATCTGCAAAGATAGCCAAGATTGTTAAGAATCCTATCGCTTCTAGTAAATTTAAAGGGTTCAGGACATTGATTAAAGACATAACTTTCTTAATATACATGAACTTATTGTGGCAAAAAAGGAAGTGCTTAGCTTGTCAACATATCTTGCATGGACAAAAGAGCTTTCTCAACACTGGTGGTAAAAGTTGTAACATCAAGCAATTTATAAATTGATCCAAATAATTTGTGATATATGACCTGAGATGTCCATGCGGCTTGAAAGGGTTTAATGGGGCCATGCACACCTGGTTCTGTGAACATAGGAGGTTGATGGAACAGGGCAGCCAGGATCACAGTGTTCCCAGGCATTTATCACTACATCATAATAGTAGTATAAAAGGCCTGACCTTGTTTGGTATTAAGGCAATTCCTAACACATCTAACATACTGGATCTTTGTGCTGAAAAGCATGGCCCCAAGAGGTCTGAATGAATCAAGATCAGCTCTATTTTGTAACAAATAGGTAATAATTTGTAACAATTAGAAACAAACATTCAGATACAAAGTGTCTCTGAGTAAACAGGTTAAAAAAAAAACAACCTAGTAATGCATCACCCCTTATAGCAGGGGTGATCAACCTGTGGCCCTCAGAGCCCTCTGATGTGTCCCTCAACCTCAAAGCAGGGAAGCACACTTCTATTATATACTGAGGGTATGGTGTGCTTTCTGAAAGTGCACCATAACTGCAAGATATAATAGTAGTCTATGGCAAAGTTCAGCTAACCACAGGAAAGCTGCAATTGCACTGCGCTGCACCTGTGGTGCAGGTAAACGGCAGTGCATCAGTGTGAAAGCTTCATTATAGGGGTCTCAGAACAGCAAGGGCTCATTTAGATTTATAGTTTGGGGTGGTAAAACCCCACAGACGAGATGCGTTTTTTACCACACATCTCTAACCACTGTTGAAGTGTAAGGGGTCACAGTGGCAACCCTGACCCATGCTCCAGGGGGCCCTTGCGACCTCCCTGCCTGTATTACACTTCAATATTTTCAGTTTCTCAGTTATATCAATTATTAAATTTTTATTAAGGTTAGGTTCACACTGTTGCAATCCATTTTTGATCCAATTTTCTGTGTGACGTGGATGTGGTTTGCATATTCTATTGTGCCAAACTTGCACTGGAATTGCACCAAAGAAGTACAATATCTATTTCCAAAATCGTGCCATGCTGAGCTGCAATGATGTGAACAGGTACCATTGAAAACAATGTGATTTCGATTATCATATGATTCTTTGAGACTCAAGTCGCATCTGAAATCGCACTAGTTTGAACAAAGCTTTATCAGTCGTTTTGCATATCTTTTAATATTAATTGATTACGTTTTTAGCTTCTAAGCATGTGACATATAAACCTTTTCTTCTCTTCAGTATTAATTACATCAAGGAGCCCCACAAGCAAATGACAGTAAATTAGCTTGA